CACAGGGTGAACCCAGATGCCTGTGGGAAGCCCACCAGAAGGAGTAGAGGCCACTAGTCCTCTCCTCCTCCTGCTTTGTAGCAAATGGCTGTCAGAAGAAGATGTATAATTCTTCCGAATCCAAAGGTTCCACATTATCACTGGTATATTTAGAATTTTGTTCAAGAATTTTGTTTGTGATTCCCACTTCCTGGATTAATGCATGGATCTAAATGAAGTTGTTATTCAGTCTTTGCATTTCTCCAAATTTTGGGGCACAGCTCAAAAACATGTACCAAAATGTATATACAAATAGTGTATTTAACCTGCATTTCCTTCTGTTTACACCAGGTAGTCGATCACTGGGGAAAGAAAGAGGCAATGAGTAAGCCACTCAGACGAAAGCAGAAAGTCAACATCGGTGGCACACCTCATTTTATATACAATAAACCTGGACACCGAGGGGAAATGAAGAAAAGGATTCTGCAACAGCATTGCTAGCAGAAGTGTCAGGAGTATCTTCTTAGCTCTTCAGAAGGTGCTGGGAAAGTATTACAGTTGTCAACTTTGCCACCTCGTTTTGCTCTCGCGGCACTTATCTGCTTTCTGAGGGAAGCTAAGAGGCTTGCGTTCCTGGGCTCTTTGGGATTCTTACCATGAGTACCTTTGAAAAGCAGCTCTATCTCTGGGGCCAGAAGACACTGGGGATCTCATGATTATCCCTTTTCGTCTCCTCAGTTGTCCCAGGAGACAGTCCTTCAAATCCCAAACATCCTCTTTTTCAGTTCCGTCAGGGTGTGAAAAAAGGATTATATTTTTGGTCCATTTTCTATTCAAGGCACAGGGAATGCAGAGCCTCAATACATTTCTTTGGCTGTGTCAGCCAGGACAAGACATACTTTTAGGGTTTCAGACTATTGATATGGGATCTATAAGTATTGGCAAACGGGAAAGAATCTGCAGTGGTAGATTGCAGCATCCTAAACCAGGGCCAGGTTAAGAACTTTAGAGGCCCTAAGCACTTAAAAGATTTTGTTGTCCCCATATATACCTAATTCAAACTATAAACAATAATAAACTGTAAAATAAAATTGTATTTTTCAAAATGAAAGAAATCTACAGTAAGATGGAAAATAATGTTTATTTTTGTCTACTTCTACTTTATTTATATTTGATTTTTTTCTCCTACTTTTTCTAATTGCAAAGTACTTCAGCAGATCCTCAGAAAGAATCTTACACAACACATCTGCTTTTGTACTTAGTAGAGATAAGGCATCCAGAGTGCCTTGCTACATAGTTGTTCTGTTGGGTTTTTAATATACTTTAATATACTCTGTTATTACTAACAGAGAATCTTGAGATTTCAGTGTTAAGTTAGCTGCATGGAGGCAAAATCTGAAACTAGGACATTCCAGACAGATTTCCACTGTTGTGCGAAGCCAACCTCAGATGTAGAGTCGATCTGTTCAGCTGTTTAAAAGCATCTTTTCGTGATTAGTTATAATTTTCTGTCGGAGCCAGCATTTGAGTCAATTCAATGAGGAATCATTCATTGCGTAAAGTCTCTGCAAGCTGCAAACAATTTATCCCTGAGGGGACAAGACCAAATGCTGAAGCTGAAGCTGAAGCGTATCAACTTGCTACTGAGTAATTTGAAGTGTTCATAGAATAAGAATATCCTCACATTGGACGGCTTACAATCTCACTTTTTGATATTGTTTGCTACCATGCTTTGGTGCAGATTAAGCTTCCCAGCCATGAATAAAGAAAAGAAAATCTGAACTGATCCTCTTCCTACTGCAGAAGAGGCACTGGCCATGGCATTGTCAGCAATCAAAACTCCCATCTGTGTGCAGACAAAGCAGGTGGTCCTGTTTTGCATAGATGCATATTGCCAGATTTTTATAAATATGTGCTTTTTGCAGGACGGTGTATTTTAGCCCGTTTTGCATAATATACCCCTCTTTGCCAGGAAGGTCAACACATGTCGAACATTATAATTGCTACAATACTTTCATTTCCCTAGCTAGCTAGCTAGCTATCACATTGGTCTCTCTCCCTACCTCCCATGTAAAGTTTGATTTACATGGGATCATCACTTGTATCCTAAGATAAAACTTGTGGTGCAGGTATGGCTAAAAGTTCATGATTAACTCAGGTCACCAGTCAGCTCCCAGGAAGGGATTTCCTCACAAGTCTGCTAGGTGTAAATCTAATGATCTATTAACTATACCACATTAGCTCTTGTTAAATATAATTAATTAATTGACACTGAAATGAAGAATGCCTGGGTGTGTGCTGCTAACTCTGGGGAAATTCCATTGAAGCTAAAGAAGTGCTGCTCTCTGAGCTTTAACTAGTTGATAATTAACTGTGAATGTTCTCTGCTCTTGAACTGAGTGTGTGCTTTTTGATCATATGACAAAGATATTCGGTTGCAAATCTCCATTTTGAAAGGGAGTTTCCTTTAGTTCTTTGTTCCCAGGCTCTGTGGGAGTAAGGATGTGTAAATGAGCCTCTCTGAGAGTGACTGCAGCTCCAGGCAAAATGGAGGCTGTAAGGAGACAGACCTTTGTTCCTAGGTCCATTTTTTTTTAATAAGATGCTGAGGCTGTGCTGGACATGCACCAGTTGTTGTATGGAGTTATTTGGATGTCTCACCATTAGTTTTGTTCTGTTCTGAGGAAAGTTCTGCAAGTAGAAGTTTTGAATAGTATCTAACTGATCTGGACAATGTTTTATTCCAAAAGGAGACAGTTTTTATGCACCCAGTTGCTTCAAGCTGCACAATTTTAATATCTGCAATAGCTCTGCACCTGTTAGATCTCAGCAGGAGTACAGTGTTCAGTTCTGGGTGAAAAGCTTTAAGGAGGATATTGACAGGTTTGGTCACAAGAATGGAAAACAAGTCATACGAATGTAAGAAGAGCCTTGCTGGATCAGGTCAAAGGCCCATCCAGTGCAGCATCCTCAAAGGTCAACATGATGCCTATGAGAAGCCTGCATGTGGAACCTGAGCACAGCAGCAGTCTTCCCTCTTGCAGTTCCCAGCAATGGGTATTCCTCTAACTGTGCAGCTAAAACAAAGCCATCATGATGAGTAGCCACTAATAGTCCTATGAGAGGGGAAATGGCGGGGCGTGTGTATGTGTGTGTGTGAGAGAGAGAATTTTATATTTAGCCTGGAGAAGACTAAGTAAGGAACATGTTAGCCCTCTTGAAATACGTAGGGGAGCAGCACACATTAGAGGGCAAAGACTTACTCCCTGCTATCTCAGAAGGTATGAATAGATCTAATCAGAAAGCCTTATTGTATTTTTCCTACATGGACCTACTCTTCATTTACTCTGTATTTCATTTATCTTCATCTTATTCAGAACACGTATCTCATTACGTTCAAAGAACATGCAAGCATGTGTTTACAGTAAGTACACTTGAATTTAGTGGAAATATTTTTCCAGGGGTCACTACAGAAGCTATGGAACTGTTGTTTTTGTCTGAGGACAAGATGGCATATTTATTTTATGGCGGGGGGGAAGGATCTCTAGTTAAACGCTGCACAGCTATCCTTTTTTATTACTCACAGTAGCTGCAAGGAAACAGATGTCTCATGCCATATATTGTACTGATTATTGGGATTGCAATTTTAATTCAGTATCTTTTGCACAACAGTTGCTCACTGTTTCCTATGCTATAAGAGGAAACAAGAATCGATATGCGCAACAAAGGGGTACTATTGGCTAAAGTACTAAGCTATGATTTCTATCAGATTATTTAGAAAGAAGAGGAGCATACCTTCAGAAGAATTTCTTTCTGCTAACAGATCTCCCATAACACGAGAAGACCTGGACATCCAATGAAACTCAATGCTGGAAAATTCAGGACAGACAGGTGTATCTGAAGAAGTGTGCATGCACACGAAAGCTCATACCAATAACAAACTTAGTTAGTCTCTAAGTTGCTACTGGAAGGAATTTTTAAATTTTGTTTAGACAAAAGAAAGTGCTTCTTCATACAATGCATAGTGAAGCAATGGGATCTGCTCCCAGAAGAAACAGTTATAGTCCTTCAAAGGAAAATTGGACAAACTCAGGGAGGACAAGGCTATCAGTGACCATGATGTTAGAGCATGAGATTCTTAATCTCAGGGTTGTGGGTTTGAGCCCCATACTAGGCAAAAAAATATATATATCCGGCATTGCAGGGGGTTGAACTAGATGACCCTTGTGGTCTCTTCCAACTCTACAATTCTGTGATGACTATGTTCTACCTCCACTGTTGGATTTCTGAATACAGGTTTCTGGGGAGAATGCTACCAGACCTCCCATAGGCATCTGGTTGGCCACTGTGAGAATAGGATGCTGGACTAGATGGGCCTTTGGCCTGATTCAGTAGACTCTTCTTATGTTCTTCAGTGATGTCAAAGGGTAACAAATGTGCAAGCACTTAATTTCTCCCAGCACCATCCCCCCAAGTGGATGTGGGGAAGGAGTTGCAACTGGCCACTAATATGCTCATTGCATGATGGCTTCTTTAAAACCTCACAACCTTTGGAAATAAAAGACTGCCTTTTGTGTTTTTTTAAGCTGTCAGATCTATTGGCTCTGGGCTGCCTGCTCTGACAGAAGCTCTCCAGGGCTTCTCACCTACCAGAGATCCTTTTAACCAGAGTCACCCAGAATTGAACCAGGGACCTTCAGCGTACAAAGCATCAGCTGCACTTCTGAGCAATGTATTCTTTTCTACTGTCTGCATCACACTGACAGGCAATCAATCAAAAAATGCTCTCATTTATCTAAAAGGGCTTTGCACAGGACAAGTCCTAGGGAATTTTGCAGAAAGTCAAAAACTTACTGTTTGCTTGCTTGCTTTTGACTAGCAAATACCAAACAGGATACGAGAGGGGTTTTATTCACTTCTAGGAGTGGGGGAGAAAATCCATCCATAGAATCACAGAATTGTAGAGTTGGAAGGGACCACAAGGCTCATCAAGTCCAACCTCCTGCAATGCAGGAATCTTTTGCCTAATGTGGGGCTCAAACCCCTGACCCTGTGGTTAAAAGTCTCATGCTCTACCAGCTGAGCTAAATTAGATATTCAGTTTGCATTTAAGAGTGAATTTACTTAATTTGCACATTTTAAAACACTATGTGAACTGAAACACAGCCATCCTACCAAATTTGCATGTCTTCTGATTTGCAGTGCATTTCTCCCACCAAGTAATTAGTATTTATTGCATACACTAGGACAAAATTGCATACACTAGGATAAAGTGCATACATTGATGAAAATAACATATAACATGCATTATATGAGCAGGAATTGCTTTCCAAAAATATGCATATTTGTTTTTTTAAAAAAAATGCATACAAATATGGCTATATTAGGAGAAATCTGCACCTGAATTTTTTGATGAATTTTCACAAGATCTTTCAAAAACGTTCACATACTTAATGGGGAAACATGGAGAACAAAATGGGAAATGGAGAGAAACCAGCAATGGTATCTCAGGTCTGCCTCATTCACATATGACATAGCTCTTACTTTACATGTGCCATCCAAATCTGTTATCAAATCCTTCTAAATCCAGTAACTCCTTATTTTCTAATTTTATCCATTCTTTCAACCAGCAAAGACATGCTGCTTCATAATATAATTTCAAATCTGGCAGGGCAAAGCCACCTCTTTCCTTCGCATCCGTTAGTAATTTAAATTTAATTCTCGGCTTTTTGCCCTGCCAGATATATCTTGAGATCACTCTTTGCCACTCCTTAAAAATCGTTACCCCCTTTATTATAGGAATAGTCTGAAATAAAAATAATATCTTTGGAAGGATGCTCATTTTTATCGTGGAAATCCTACCCCAAAAGGATAGTTTCATTCTGAACACATCATAAACCAAGTAAATACGTTTAAATATCTGGGATTGATTTATTCAGAAACGGCATCTTGGAATACACAGCTATCCAATATTAAATTGCAAGCCTTTAAATCAGCAAAAGCCATTCTGAAATTCACTGCCTGTAAAGGTGGAAATCTGGTCAACCCAGCTCTATCTGTGTATAAAGCAAAAACAATGGCCCAGATTTTATATGGTGCAGAGGTTTGGGGTACCTCAAAGGTCTCCGGTCTAGAACCCCCACAGAATTTTTTTTTAAGAGTTCTTTTAGGTTTACCCAAAGACGTGCAATCTGCCATGGTCAGGTTGGAAACTCGCATGTCGAGCATAGAGAGCCAAATAGATAAAAGAATTCTCTGTTACTGGTTTAGAGTTCAACAGATGGACAACACTAGGCTACCCAAAAAATGCCTGATTGAGCTCTCAAATAGATTACCCCTTAAAAACTGGGTACATCATGCTGCCCAACTGATGGGCAAATGTGACCTCTCAGTGACTGAGATTAAAGAACTCCCATTATATTCACAGAAAAATATTTTTAAACGAAACATAAGGGCAGTGGCAACTAAAAACGATCTAAACTCTATGTGCACATCTACATGCGCCCCATTGTATTTTAAACTTAGAGAGGTCAATGAACACATATCTTATTTTAATGAATTGACTTTTGCGCAGCTTCGAAAAGCTTTTACAGAGCTACGACTAAATACAATAAGCTCTTCTTATAGAGATGGAAGACACAGAGGCATACCAAAAAACGAACGTGTTTGCATTAGGGGATGTTCTGAAGTAGAGGACCTTATGCATTATATCTTGCACTGTCCGTTATATAATGATGTAAGAAAAAGATTTTTGGTACCTATAATGACAGGGTCCCCTGGCCAGAACCCCCTTGACATGATTTTTTATCTCCTTGCAGACACAGATAAGTATGTGACCTGGCGGGTAGCACTTTTTGCGACTGCTGCTAGGAAAATTAGAGCAAATTATATATCCAAGGTAGCCATTAACTGTAAAGGTGATGAATTTATTTGATCCTATCTATCTACCTCAGGCTATGCTCTATCTTTGTCACCAAACTCTGAGTACAAATTGCACACTGTATTAATTGATATTGTTTTTAACATTAGTGACCATGTGATGATTTTAGCTTATGAATTTTATTGTTTAATGTTTTTATTTGTACATTGGGGTACTTTTATAGCTTTGTTTAGAGTACATAATGTTTTAATAAATTGGTGCAGTTCAGCAGGTCTTGAGTCCCTTAGGCAAATTTAGGTACATTAGACAAATTGGACAGTTCATGCAGACTTGTCCTCTGTTGAGTCCCAGGACACAATTTGTTCTATAGGCATTTCCTATCCGCTGAACTGCTTAAATTCTGATTGTCCCAGAGGGGAAGGCAACCAAAATTCAATTATAATATGGGACATAACAGATGGTAAAATTCAGTGTGCAGACAGTTTGAACAGTACAGCCACCTCATGGTCCCAAATCAGGGAAGCTGCCTGTCTTCTACGCTGGTTTGTGATTAGAGCTGAGCCCCAACCTATCTGATCTGTCTTAGGGGAGCCTCTTTTGGGGCTTCCAGAATAACAAAAAAATAGCAAAACACTTTCAGTTTTTGTGTAATTTTGCATATGTATCTGACAACAAAATCTCCTTATCTAATGAGCAGATTTAGATTTTGGTTCAGCCTTACAGCACAAAGCTAATCGTGTCTACTCAGAAGTAAACCCAATAAAATTTGGTGGGGCTTACTCCCAGGTAAGTTGGGTTAGGATTGCAGCCTTACTATGAGGTAGGCGTCTATGGAATTTCAACCTTAGAATACAATCCTATACCCATTTACTTGGTAGTAAGCCCAGCTGAACCCAATTGGACTTAGTTATGAACAAACATTTATAGGAATGCAACCTAAAGCTACTGTAATGAATCCCAGACATAGAAAGAGGGGGACATTCATAGTATATGAATCCTGGACATGCTTTCTCAGAAGTCCCACTGAGTCTAGTGATGCTTTCTCACAAGTAAGAGCTGCACTGGGCTCAGAGAAGAGCAACCAAAGCGATTAAGGGACTGGAACAACTCTCCTATCAGGAGGGATTGCAGCATTTTGGATTAAAGGTCTTATTCTTTGGCGATCATTTGTAGCCGAGTAAGATTGTCTTCCATAAACACGGTTTTAAAAGTGAGTCCGTAAGTGACTGTGGAGGCCAATTCTGGATCCACACAGCCTTCCACAGTGGGGACATAGGTTTACGGGTGGGAGTTGATCATGATGAGGGTTTGCCAAGCGTACCTTCCTCTTAGCCTTCCTCCCTTTCATCCTGAGTTTGAGCATCTTCAAAACCCATGACACCTTTGGCAAAGGCTGTTCTCCAGTTGGAGCGCTCGCAGGCCAGTGTTTCCAAATTGTCAGTGTTTATACTACATTTTTTTTTAGATTTGCCTTGAGAGAGTCTTTGAACCTCTTTTGTTGACCACCAACATTATGCTTACCATTTTAAAGTTTGGAATAGAGTAGTTGCTTTGGAAAACGATCATCAGGCATCCGCACAACATGACCAGTCCAATGAAGTTGATGTTAAAGAGAAGAAGAAGAGTTTGGATTTGATATCCCGCCTTTCACTCCCTTTAAGGCGTCTCAAAGCGGCTAACATTCTCCTTTCCCTTCCTCCCCCACAACAAACACTCTGTGAGGTGAGTGGGGCTGAGAGACTTCAAAGAAGTTTCACTGGCCCAAGGTCACCCAGCAGCTGCATGTGGAGGAGCAGAGACACGAACCCGGTTCCCCAGATTACGAGACTACCGCTCTTAACCACTACACCACACTGGCTCTCTAAAGAATCATTGCTTCGACACTGGTGATCTTTGCTTCTTCCAGTACACTGGCATTAGTTCACCTGTCTTCCCAGGTGATGTGTATTTTTTTCCCCAGTATGCAAGAAGTGAACATTATAGGCATGAATAAAATTATGCATGAAAAAAAATATGGATGGATGTTTTTCTCCCTCTCTCATAATGAGAGCTCAGAGTCATTCAATGAAGTTGAATGTTGGAAGATCCACAGCTGACAAAATTAGGTCCTTCTTCACACAGTGCATAGGTAAATTCTGGAATTTGCTACAACACTAGCATTTCCCACCAGTTTTTACTCTGTTGATAATGGATTAAACATATTTCATAACAGGTACCCTTATCCATGTTAAGGGTGTCAATTCAGGCTTTAAAACAGAATAAGCATATTAAATCAACAGGCCATTTATATGGATTAGCCAAAAACTCTTTTAAAAAATCATTAGTTTTTCTTTAAGGCATAGGAAGGTGGACAAGAGTAAAAGGAAGTAATCAAGTTATCCTAATGAGGTATATTCCATATCACCTGCCATCAAGAATAACCCAGACAGACAGTAATCAAACAAGGCCAATCAAAACCACACTATCATCAGAAGAAATTGCTTCCACCTCTGCAAATGCACAAATGTGTCATTTAAGCAGTCACAGAAATCCTCATCAAATAATTGGTTTTTAAAGCAGCACCAGGCAACCTGGATGAACACCTGTCAAGCTATTTGCATTAATTAGCACCAAAAGTTCATTCATAAAAAGTAGGAGAAACTGGATAATTTACCATGCAGAAAGTTTCAGAATCAGCTGCCCTACGTAGCTGTTTTCAACTTTTACCAACTTTGCTGATTAAACTGGTAATGTTTTTAAAGAACCAACAACTTTCCCAGTTTTATTACTTAAAATAATAATAATAAATTGGAACTTCTTGACAATGACCTATCATGCTTGTGCCTCAGATTTCTTTCTTTGCAAGTGATTAATAAAATAATGAGAAGGCACATGCTATTTAACAGACATCAGTGGATACAAATCCTCAGTGTAGTTATTTCATGACACTCCAAATAGAGTGAAGCCATTTATGGATTTAGGTACCACCTAAAATACATAGTATTAGATTCAAGTTTTTAGTCTGCAGACTAAAGAAAACCATTCTTAGAACGAGAGTTCTGCTCATGAAAGAAGCTGTAAAGGTCCAAACTTAAGATATAACTGGGCCCTTATTATACAGAGTGGCCCTAATACCCTATATTTTGGTTGGCTCAGAGGAAATGTCTAACTTCCTAAGTTCCTTCCATCTAGTCTCACCTGTCATTCCTTCCTAAGCAAGTTGATCTGGCTAGCTT